AAATTTTTTTTTTATAAACTCTCTTACTAGACAAAAATATTAAAAAATTATTTTTAATAAAATATTAAAAATATTTTAATATTAAAATATTAAACTCTCTATTAAACTCTCACCAGAGAAAAAATGTTAAAAATATTTAGACGTCCATTACTCTATTAAACTCTCACTAAAGAAAATATTAAAAATATTTGGACATCCATTTCTCCATTAAACTCTCACTAGAGAAAAATATTTAAAAAATATTTTCAATAAAATAAAATGACCAAAATATCTTTGAAAGATTCAAGGGGTATTTTGGTCATTATACTTTATTAAAAAATATTTTTAATATTTTTTATAAGTGCGCCCCAATGAGAAGATAGCACGTATCAAATTTTATATTCATACGATTTGTACTAAAAAAACTAAAAATAAAATATTTTGAGACATCGGATCTAAGATCAAACGGTAAGTGGCTCTCTTGATCAAAATTGAACAGCGTGATGGTAAAAAGAAGATAAAACTTCTGTAATAGAAGCGTAGAAACCTAACCTTTTCCAAAAAAGAATACGCTGGAATATCTTTCGATCAGACAACCAAAAATGATGCACGTGTGCGTAAACAAAGTTTTATTCTCAATTTTGCTAGGTCTTGTTTGTATGCTGCTCAAAACAATGCCACGTCGGGAGTGAGATGAAAACCAAAAGTAACAAATTTTAATGACTCAATTTAACAAATTGTTTTGGTTCTTTAGTCAAATTTTGCTAGGTAAGGGCATTGTTTTTTCCAAGCAGAATTACGCACACTCATTTAAAATATAGGAAAAAAAAAGGTTTAAGATTTTCTAAAGATTATAAAAAATCAGAGAAAGTACTTAAAGTTAATCGAAATCATTAGAAGGCTAAAGAAGCAAGAAAAAATATCTAAAATATGGATTACAAAAATTTGACTTATACCTCGAGTATTTCAGAAAAATTAGAAATGAAAAAATTTTGGATCCCAAATCATCGTCAAAACTATCCAAACCATCTTAAAAAAATCATTCTTAAGCAATATGTTGTTCATTCCTTCTTTTTTTTTCTTTTTTTTTTTTCTTTTTTTTTTTTTTTAAAAGTAAAAAAATAAAAAAATTAACGTTAATCGGGGTATTTTTTGGGAGGTAAATTAGGCACCCAACTCACCGCCACCTTGACTTGCCTCTAGGGCAAGGATGAGTCCACTGCTGGGCCATGGAACAATGATGTTTCTTTTAAAGCTTTGTTTTGAAAGGAAACGTATCTCATTGAATCAATGACACAGTTGTGATCACCATCAGCCAACAAATACTAATACAACCACATTCTAGAGCGAAAGAATCACATGAGAAGAAAACAACATGACAAAGGTATAAAAGTGGAGAGTTGAGACCTCCCCACGCACCATCAAATGGGAAAAAAAAGAATGACTTGCTAAGGAAAAAAGGTAGGCCAATTCCTC